CTTAAACAGAACGGCTCCACCTATTCCTCAGACGAAGAAAAAGCTGCAATCTTCGCAGACTCTTTGTGTCTCCAGTGCTCCCCACTACCAAGCCCAGTGGATCTTGCCGACTTTCACGAGCGTACCAAAGCCGTCTCCCAGAACTTCGTTCCCCTGAATTCCGACTTCAAACACACGTCCCCACGAGAAATCTTTCTCATTATCCGCTCTCTAAAAAAGAGAAAAGCCCCTGGCGCTGACGGAATTGCTAACGGAGTCCTTAAAGTCCTGCCACCAAAGCACATAACCGCACTGTGCAACATCGCAAACGCCATCATGCGGCTCCACCACTTTCCTTTGGTCTGGAAAGAAGCCACTGTCATCTGTCTCCCCAAAAAAGGGAAGCCGCTCAGCTCTCCCTCAAGCTACGGGCCCATCAGCCTGCTCAGTTCGCTGAGCAAAGTAGTAGTATCCGTCCTTCTCGTTCGGCTCTTAGACCACGTGGAGCAAAACAACCTTCTCCCTGATTTATCATTTGCTCCTATAGTTTCCCGGGACGTGGAAAGTTGTTTTTCAGAAATTAGAAATATTTTATCTGATAATCGCCGTAAATTTATATTTGAAAATTTATTATATCACATTATAATAAAATGTAATAGCAAAAATATGTAAAATTGTAAATAGATAAATATAACCCTTAAAATTTGTTTTATTTCAATCTAAACAAAGGCCATTTGAAAGCATATTTAAATGCATATATTTAATAATTTAAATGCATATCTATTAGTACTTTTTTAATGCATAATTATCCGAAGCCCATTTATACCCATAATCGACGTAGCTGCTTAGTTGTTATCGCAACTGTGTTGCCAATTCACGCCCAAGACCAGTTTGGGATTGGAATTTCTTCTACTTTTATTACAAATCTTACGTTGTGTTGGAAACGTAGAAAATAACTTGCTTTATGCTTTAATAAAACTTCACAACTTCGCAAGAAAAGAAACGCAGCATTCACGCATTCTAAATTTGTTACAACAACATACGGATTACCTATTATTTTTAATGAACGATTTAGGGCAAATATTATCCGTAAATCCACTTAAACTTACTCTAGCCCAGTATTACTGTTCATAAAAGAGATCAACGACTATCCAAAGTACATCAACTATCGTAAATTATCACAATAAAAGATATGTACCTAGTTTTACCCTCTACTACATATAAACGACCAACTGGAGAAACAAATATTCTATGAAAATTTACAATATTGAAAATTTGCTCGCCAAATAATACGAAGACACTAACCTCATACGTAGCACATTATTAAAACAACAAGCTACAGAAATAGAAAAACTACTCAACAATCTAGGAACATACCTTTCAGATGACGTCAAAATCCGTCACAAGCGAGGATGTATAACCTTTGTCGGGTCTGGATTACACTATCTCTTTGGGACTATGGATTCTAACGATGAAGAGGAAATTAATACAGCAATCCAGAAGCTATGAGATTCTAGCAAAAATACTCTGGACACCATACAAGAAACAAATACTATCCTCTCTCACACAATTCGAAATTTTAATCAAACCATCGGAAACCTCGTATCAAACGAAAAACAAATCGACGAGCAAATGCAGGCGATTGCAAATCACATTAACACTAACAATATCAACACAAAGAAAAACGAAATTAATATGAAATTATTTAATACAGTTCTGGCACTAACCGAAACCATTATTGAGCTCTGTTTCGATATTAACCAATTAAAACATACGCCTAATAGTAAAGAAAACGTTTTACATCTTCAAATTGATAAAAACATTAAACTAACACAAGTCCTACAGAAAGTAAACGCGAAAACTAGCATTTTATTCTCCTTTTCTCATTCGAACTCAAAGACATCCTCAAAATCATTAGAACATACTGTTACGAGATTTCCTTTATATAGCATTTGATGTTACACAGTCATTATATTACATTACCGTCTCTTCAAGACCTAACGATTGTTAAGGTTAATTATTTTGGTATAATCTTAAAATATCAAGCATTAGATAAACATTCCACGTGTAAAGTAGACCTGATTATGAGAGGAAAATGGTCAAATAAATGCGACAGCCTGGAAATTCCCCTTGAGGACAATCATCTTAAACCCCTGGATGGTCAGCGATGACTACTCTTACTTTCCAAGCCTGCGACCTTCACCTTCGAATGCCAACAAAAGACGATACAGCAAGTCACGTTCCCAATTACTGGTATTCTACGTCTGGAAGCTCTTTCTCTAGATACACATGTAATGGATTCAAAATCGTACTATAAAAGAATCTTAGCAACATCACCAACTCGCGACCATGGCCAGTATTCTAATCCCGTACGACTGCTGCCTTGAACAGGGAAAAGAATCTTAGAGAATATCAATAAAATCCTTCAAGATTCATGACTTGAACCAAGAAAACTTTGTCACTATTATCAAACACCCCCAAAGGATGGTTTTGGCCCATGATTGGACCCTTAAGCATCTTTATCACTATAACGTGCCTGTCTATGCAAAAATTATCGACTACCCTTCAGCACCAATTCATTCTTAAAGGGATGTCCAAACCTTTATATAAACATCAAAAACACAAACAGGCTAAGAAATGTAGTAAGAATAAGACCTTCCCGCCGGGGCTTCNAACCATTCAACGAAAAGGTTATTCTTTTACGTTTTAGTACTTTTTCAATTCAATAAATATCAGGGTATTTTGTTTTCTGTAATTCTTCAGTGTCAAAACCTCCGCTAATGGGATTACCATTTAAATATTCTAGTAAATATGTATACGGGTAGGTATAATTAATTTTTGCAACTTTAAATAGTTCAGTTGTCCAGTTGGGTGTGTAAGACGTTGAAAATACATGTTTAGCTTTACTTCTTCGTACAATATCACCCACATGAAATGTAGGTTTTCCATATATCATTAAAATATGACAGTACGCTGTATCAAGTATGTACTACTTTTCATTTTGCTTTTTTTTCCTTTGGAGGGTGTCATTTTTATTGTTCTGGGTACGGTTGGATTATATTCATTAACTATGTCATCATCAATTACATCTATCCACCGATATGAGCCTATACAATGTAGTGATTTAGTTTTTATTGTTCTAATTACACGTTCAACAATGGATGCTTTTTTCAGTGAGTAACTGCTATAGTGATTAATTTTATATTTTTCCATTAAAGATTAAAATTGATAATTGTATGACTTATTGTGAGCATACGCAAAGTGGAGAGATGCAAATGGTCACCATGTCAGAGTGGATTTTTAGAGAAGCTAACAAAAAATAATAAAAACTTTACAACATCGACCGTAATGTTACTACCCTTCCTTCATGATCTTGCAAGTAAGAAAGATACAATTTACACCACGTTAGATTGTCCATTAGGTGGTGCCAAATCACATGGACAAAATTGTTACATCATTACTTTTGATCAGCTACTTTACTATAAAGTTCGCGAAATTGTAGCTGCTGCTGATGTTCAATCTGATATATCCAACGTTATTGTAAGACTACGTGGTTTTCATATGCTTATGTCGTTTCTTGGATCTACAGGATATATAATGGAAGGAAATGGACTCAAACAAGCTCTTAGTGTTATTTACGCTCCAAATTCAGTTGACAAAATTTAAGATGACCATGCTTAAACAACCACCGACCAACCCCATCCAGATGATCTCCTTAAAACATACTCTCGGATTTTCGCCGCGCCCGACACTGTCGAGGGCCTTCCAATCTTGGGTGACGCGAAACCTCCATTACAAAACCTTTTGAATGCTCCCATTACTGAAGAGGACATCTGGAACCAAGAACCAAGATGTCTGATTCCGCCGGACCCGATGTACGCCGTTTAGTGACAGTCGACAAAACATGGATCCACAGGTGCACAAGAGACCGAGGAGCAGTCGAAACAGTGGACTTCATCCGGCGAACGGGCTCCTAAGAAGGCAAAGACTGTCCCATCGGCCGGAAGGGGAAGGGTGATGGCCACCGCTTTCTGGGATTCACAAGGTGTGATCCACATCGACTACCTGNTTAAAAACAAAATATTAACAAAACTAGAAGGATTTCAAGAACGGGAGTCAGGATGGGCCCTTTACGAAATAATACAACTTAAAATAAATATTAATAATTATGCTCCAATCAACGCAGGTATTTCAACATATGTAGAAATGCCTTCATTTATTAAAAATTCAAAATCAGTTATCACTATCCAAAATAACGATAAAATCGGTTTTCTGTGGTCAGTTGTAGCTGCACAACATCCTTTACCGTTCAATAAAAATCCAAATAGAACAACATCATATCCACACATTAGTAGGATCCTTAAGTATGAGGGAATTAATTTTCCAATTCAATTGAAGGATATAAATAAATTTGAAAAACTTAACAATTTATCCATTAATGTTTTCACACTTGATAAAACTAGTATTGTACCCATTTGTTTGAGTAAAACCGATTTTACACCTCATATTAACTTATTAATGATTCCGTGTGATAATTTAAATTGCGATATTGATGATAAAAATAATTTTTCAGATTCCTCTACTGAGTTTAATGAAACAAATGTTGAATTAAACAGAACATTTCATTTTGCATTAATTAATGACCTTTCGCGACTGTTACACAAACAAATGAAAAACAATAAAATTAGAAAATGGATATGTAACCGTTGTCTCAACAACTTTACATCAAAGCAGACTTTAGAAACGCATTTAATTGATTGTAAAAATTTAAACAGGACAAAAATCACTTTGCCAAAAGATAACGAAAAGTTTTTAAAATTTAAAAATTTTAAAAATAAGGAATTTGTACCGTTTGTAATTTATGCTGATTTGGAAAGTATACTAGTTAAACACAATGACTTAAAATGTACAAGTAAAATGCAAAAGTATCAGAAACACGAGCCTTTCAGTATTGCATATTATCTAAAGTGTTATTATGATGATTCTCTTTCTAAATTTAAGTTATACACAGGGAAGGATTGTATTACATGGTTCGTTAAGGAACTTGAAACTTTAGCTTTCGAATTTAAAAATATTTTTTTAAACATTATTCCAATTAAAAAATTATCATATGAACAAGAAAATCAACATCTTACTGCTACATATTGTCATATTTGTTGTAAACCATTTAGTAGTGAAAATGTTAAAGTGAAGGATCACTGTCATTTAACAGGAAATTATAGAGGTCCAGCGCATTCAAATTGTAACTTGAATTATAAGAATAGTCATACAATACCTGTAATTTTTCACAATTTATCCGGATATGACAGTCATTTCATAATTAAAGCTTTAAGCGTAGAAATAAAAGGTAATATTTNGTATCTAGTTACAGTTACGTACACAGACACATTAAACAAATATTAGAAAGGAACAAAACGGTAGGAATACTCCAGAAGGCAAAAGAAGACCTTTCACCTGTTAAAAAAGTTCACTTCTTACTTACTAAAAACTATGTAAAAAATCAGTTTCCTAAAGTTATAAGCAGAATCCATTTTTACTGTTATTATGTAAGTTCCTTTACGAATCAATAAATAAGAGTGCAACACGATTTCTGTTGACGAAACTTTAACAGGCGTTGTGAACAGAATCCAAGAAGAGTTCCTCTAGACATCTACTAGTACCAATCACAAAGTAAGTACTTGGGCGTTGAGAGGTTTTGAAATTCAGTAAAATCTACTATATATTATACAAACGACCTCCACTGACAGATATTCCGGTATTTTATTGCTGCGAGACCCGTCCGTTTATACCTGCTACTGCCTGTCGGACTGTGTTTAGCTCAGTTGAAAAATATTTCTCGAATGTTGAAAACGTTATTTTAGTAGTTTCATGCTTTTGAACAGTTTTCATAATGAATGATACATGTTTTATATGCAATGAATCTGACTCTCTCTTCAACTTTATGCTGTTTACGGGAGCCTCTCCCTCAACACTGCCCCGGTGTCGTACCACCCTCATCCCAAAAGGGATGACGAATTTAGAAAACATCGACAACTGGAGGCCAATCAAGTTGCCCCACCCCTGGTCAGTTAATTTTAGACAAAAAGTTATCACAGTCACACTACATCTACGAAAAAGACTGAATTAAGAGATATGGTTGTAATATTTAACGATAGCACTAACAACAACAATACCACCGATGAAGATATAAATACACTATCAACACTTAAAAAAATTATTCTCAACACCCGACAGGAATTAATACTGATTCGATCAAATACTGATAACAATTCTACATGTGATAAAACTGGAACCGATAAAGGTAAAATCACGTTAAACAAAATTGTATGGAAAGTACCTCACGTAACTGTTTCCGATTATGAAAAAATCAAATTATTGGACTATATTGAAAAAAATGTCAGTTTACCAATTACGTTTAGAAGTTGGGAATTACATGGATATCCGTTACTTCAACAAACCACGCATCATACGTGGGCGGTTAAATCAGCATCATATATAGAAAAACCACGATTTATCATAGTAGCTTTTCAGACTGATCATTGCAATTTAAAATCTATAAAATTATATTTAAACTCTGAAGATTATCCGTATGATAATATTAATGTAAATTATCAACAAAACCAATTTGCAATTTTATATCAAATGTATAGCAAATTTCAACGATCGTATTATTGGAATAAAAGTAGCGTCGAACCTGTCCTAACACCAGATTTGTTTAAGAAACGTGCACCGCTAGTGGTTATTGATTGCTCACATCAAAGTGAAACGATTAAAAATGGCGCTATTGATATTCGATTAGAATTTGAAACGATTGAAAATGTACCTGCAAAAACGTCTGCCTATTGTCTAATTATTCAGGAAAGATTCGTGAATTACAATCCCCTTGCAAGTGTTGTTCGTATTCTATAGAAAAATGCTTGTTAACATTAAGTTTAGATGTCCTAAATGTAAAGGTGAAACTGATGAACCTAATTTGAAATGTATTCCGTGCACATTTACAGAATTACTAAAGTCTGAAGGCCATAAACACTGTCCATCTAGCTATTTTTATTTAAAGGAGTCCTTAGGTCATGAAGTTAAATGAATGAATGAATCTAGGTTGAAAATCAGTATCAGGTGATGTTCCTCCTTTTTTTTATATTATTGTTGATATAAATATCAGAAAAAGATAAGAAATCTAGCCAGTAGAAAAAGAAGTGAAACAGTGTGTGCACGGTTAAAAGACAAAAAAAAATGGAAAAATCTATAATCGTTGATTTACAAGGTATTAAAACAGACACTAATCGATTTGTGGCTAAAGAAGTGGAAAAATTGACTACTGTTTCTTAAAATATGTAATAAAAATAGAATTACAGTTAAATGATGCAACAACGGTTTACGTAAAAGGTTTAGAGAAAGCTAAATGGATTGAAGATATTCTGGATGATTTATTACATACAGAAATAAAATTCGAATAAAATAATATCTTCTATTTATTCTTTCTGATTGGCATCCCCTCATATTCATCCAACAGTTCAAAATTGAAAGGTTTCATTTCATTTTCAAAGTATCTATACGAAAAAGATGTTCCCAATTGAAGTAAAGATGTAACCACACTATAGTGGCACATTCCTCGCATATTATGAATATCTCTTAGTATTTCCATTTCACGTAAATATGCTTTAAAGTATAGCATGTATGTACGTTTATGTGATTGATCATTGTTGACAAGCTTTTCTTCTTCTTCATCTTCTTCTTTTCTGAAGTGTGTATTCCAACATTGTTCACATACCATCGATCAGTAGTTTAGGAGGGTTTTATAGTATTTAAATTTTGCATATAATATCAGATAATCTAATATAATATATGGAGAATATTTAAATAATGAGACTGGAATTTTAATTTTTGGTGAAAATCTCCAACAATATAAAGAAGGATTATCANCCAAGGCAGATGGACCCGGAATCGAACCGGCGTCCTCCCGAATGCTAAGCAATGGTCTAGACCTCTAGGCCATGCCGCTCGGTGACTACAAAGGTAAATGCAGGGGTTTATATAGCACACCCTTAGCTTCTTGAGGGATGCGAGATGTAAATGTGGGTGGGGATGTACTGTCTTCTTAACAGTACATGCAACAATTGGAAGAAAAAAAGAAGAAAAATACAAACTATACTAGTGATGGCGATGCTGATAACGATGAATCTAAAAGGAACATTGAATTGGAAGTATCAATTTTAAATTTAAACAAAACATTAACGGAAAAAATTAAACGTTATGAATTGCATGAACAAGCAATGATCAGTGTAATCAATGAATACAGAGAGAACATTACCAGGTTAGAGAAAGAGAATGAAATATTACAACGTGATATAAGAGTACTTACATTAGACAAAACTAATTGTTATGAAAAATTGAAATTGATGGAAAACGAAATAGAAAAGCAAGGAATTAGTCAGTCAAACTTAAGCCAAAACATCAATGATTGTATAGAGAGAGATGAAAAGTGTCAAAATAAGAAGAGTAAATTTGTAATCAGTTTAAGTTCATATCGATCATCGAAAAAAAGACTACAAGACAAATTGTACAAGCAACAACATAGCTTATAAAAAAAATAGTATCTGACTGTAATTACCTACCACTTCATTAATTAATAAAGAACAGTACACTGTTTTTTAATTATAATGCCTGTTGGTGTAAAATACAACTCTCCCTCTTGTAAAGGGGAAACTGATGTCATAAATGAACCTTGTATTTCATGCATTCTTTTAAGAGGAATTAAACGTAAAGGATTCAAACACTGTTCGTCTAACTTTCTTAATGATAAGGTTAATACCGTTATTAACAGGATTAACAACCGAAATCGATATAATTAATTTTTTTTTATTCACTTTAAAAACAATGAGCACTGAATGTAACAAATGTAAAAAAATGTTCTGTTTTTGCATAAAATCAATACAGTTACACGATTATTACGAAAGGAAAATATAAAACAACAGCATGGAACTGAGCACGGAATTGATGAAGTAAAAAGTGAGCGAAAGAGGTTCAGAAAAAACTTAATGTCTCACGAAAAGCTACCCACTACTCCTAATGTGAAATAAAAAAACAAAATGTATATAAGTTTAATTACAAAGAAACAATATAAATAATTTCTTGTGTTTTTATTTACTTGATAAAACTTTACACAAGAAAGTATTGGTAGGTAATAATTTTAACAACTAAAAACTGAATAAAAAAGATAAACGTTTAATTATATTTTTTATTATTCAATTACGAACAAATTACAATTCTTGCAATGAATATTTTTGGCTGTTAAAATCAAATGCATCATCATCATACACTTCTACTAATTCGTTTGGTGGCGATTGCGGCTGCTTCTGCGTCATTGTTGAACATGGTTTATTCATCCTACTTTCCAATAATTTTTTTTTGTTGCATTTTTCTTCGTTGTTTGGAAATACAAAATTTACTTTTCTTTTTTCACTTATCGACGTCTGCTGTGGTGGTTGCTGCTGCTGCTGCTGCATCACGATTTTCTCCGTTTCTCTTCCATCACTTATCATTAGCCTACCTTCTGTACTATCTTTCACCATTTGTAAACTTTCTCCTTCATCATCCTTTAAATTAAATGTATAGCGTTGATACAGATTTCTTAGTATATGTAATTCACAATCATCCTCCACCGCTAATCTTAAATATGCAATGGGTAAATTGCCTAATTTTTTAAGCATTGTATGAGCTCTCGGGGTGTATAATAGCTTAACCATTACTTCGTCTTCTCTTTTTTCAATACTTTTAACTCCAAATCTATAAATACAATGAAATTGAGTTTATGAATTCAACGTTTCATTCGTTTAAATAATACTTATTGTTAATAAAAAGAAAACAATAAAGTACTTACTTGAACATTTGTTTATCTGCTACATANTTAGCCAAAAAGTTTAAACTCATAGATCAGATAGAGCCCTACTACAAATACAAACCACAAAATGTGTTAGAAAACCACTTAGCCAAGTTATATTGGGATAGAGACGTAATTACAGATAAAACAGTTAATCATAACAGACCTGATATCACACTGACCATCAAAGACACTAAAACGACCTATCTAATAGATGTTGCAGTACCAAACACTGAAAATCTTAAACAAAAACATATTGAGAAAATTCAAAAATATATTCCATTAGCAGATGAAATAAAAGACATGTGGAATCAGAACACAGTTCGAATTATTCCAATAATAATATCATCAATAGGCGTTATACCTAAAACATTACACGCTAGCCTAGCCGAGTTGAAACTGCATAAGTTTACGTACATAAGTCTACAGAAATCGGTAATCCTTGATACATGCGGAATAGTGCGTAGATTTCTTAACAGTGTTTACATATCCCCCTTTTCAGAAAACACAACAGGTTAAATAAGAAGCAGAGTTTTTAATACTCACTGATCATATTTTAGGGCAAGAACAACCATTAGCTCCCTAAATTTTAAGAACAGAAAATTGGTTTCTATATCCCAAAAGATGTGAGTGAGGTTCTTTGGCATAAGCCCGTCTTCACTTGCTTAAAGTTACCAGTGCAAACTGAGAAGACCAGGAGGATAATAATAATATGTTATGCGATAGTCAAGGTCAGTAAGAACATCTGTTTATAAAGAAATAACGTTTCTAAATATTATTCACGACAAAATAATTTCCGTTCTTAAAAACAAAAAAAACAAGTCGGATGGTCATTTCAGAAATGGTATAAATAGCGATACATTTTTATTGTAAATATCAGTATCACACGTCTGCGTCTGCAAAATACACACCTACTACTACTGGCAATTATTAAACCTACAAGTGAAACTGTAGGTAAGTAGTGATTTTTGTTTTAATTTTTACTTTTATTGCATGCTTATAGTTTTTGTATTTATTATAGCATCATGGACTCTCCCATTTTAAAATATGTTAAATTAACAGACAATAGTCAACCTCTCACCAGAGCAACACCTTTCGCTGCAGGTATCGATTTGAGAAGTGCCTATAGTTACAAAGTTCCTGCTCGTGGTCAAACTCTCGTTGATACTGGAATTAAAGTTCAACTACCGATTGGTCATTACGGTCGTATTGTTCCACGATCTGGACTAGCNGAAGGAATTAATTTTCCAATTCAATTGAAGGATATAAATAAATTTGAAAAACTTAACAATTTATCCATTAATGTTTTCACACTTGATAAAACTAGTATGGTACCCATTTGTTTGAGTAAAACTGATTTTACACCTCATATTAACTTATTAATGATTTCGTGTGATAATTTAAATTGTGATATTGATGATGGATGATAAAAATAATTTTTCAGATTCCTATACTGAGTTTACTGAAACAAACGTTGAATTAAATAGAACACTATATTTTGTATTAATTAATTATCTTTCACGACTGTTACACAAACAGATGAAAAACAATAAAATTAGAAAATGGATATGTAACCGTTGTCTCAACAACTTTACATCAAAGCAGACTTTAGAAACGCATTTAATTGATTGTAAAAATTTAAACAGGACAAAAATCACTTTGCCAAAAGATAACGAAAAGTTTTTAAAATTTAAAAATTTTAAAAATAAGGAATTTGTACCGTTTGTAATTTATGCTGATTTGGAAAGTATACTAGTTAAACACAATGACTTAAAATGTACAAGTAAAATGCAAAAGTATCAGAAACACGAGCCTTTCAGTATTGCATATTATCTAAAGTGTTATTATGATGATTCTCTTTCTAAATTTAAGTTATACACAGGGAAGGATTGTATTACATGGTTCGTTAAGGAACTTGAAACTTTAGCTTTCGAATTTAAAAATATTTTTTCAAACATTATTTCAGTTAAAAAATTATCATATGAACAAGAAAATCAACATCTTACTGCTACACATTGCCATATTTGTTGTAAACCATTTAGTAGTGAAAATGTTAAAGGAAAGGATCACTGTCATTTAACAGGAAATTATAGAGGTCCAGCGCAATCAAGTTGTAACTTGAATTATAAGAATGATAATACAATACCTGTAATTTTTCACAATTTATCCGGATATGACAGCCATTTCATAATTAAAGCTTTAAGCGTAGAAATAAAAGGTAATATTTCTTTATTGCCGGTTAATAAAGAGAAGTATATTTCATTCACNATACTAGTTAAACACAATGACTTAAAATGTACAAGTAAAATGCAAAAGTATCAGAAACACGAGCCTTTCAGTATTGCATATTATCTAAAGTGTTATTATGATGATTCTCTTTCTAAATTTAAGTTATACACAGGGAAGGATTGTATTACATGGTTCGTTAAGGAACTTGAAACTTTAGCTTTCGAATTTAAAAATATTTTTTTAAACATTATTCCAATTAAAAAATTATCATATGAACAAGAAAATCAATATCTTACTGCTACATATTTGTTGTAAACCATTTAGTAGTGAAAATGTTGAAGTAAAGGATCACTGTCATTTAACAGGAAGTTATAGAGGTCCAACGCATTCAAATTGTAACTTGAATTATAAGAATAGTCATACAATACCTGTAATTTTTCACAATTTATCCGGATATGACAGTCATTTCTTAATTAAAGCTTTAAGCGTAGAANATAGTCATACAATACCTGTAATTTTTCACAATTTATCCGGATATGACAGTCATTTCATAATTAAAGCTTTAAGCGTAGAAATAAAAGGTAATATTTCTTTATTGCCGGTTAATAAAGAGAAGTATATTTCATTCACAAAATTTATAGAAAAAACTAATGTGAGTTTTAGATTTTTAGATTCTTTTCGTTTTCACAAGGAAGTATTACCAAAATGATGAAGAATTTGAATTAGTTCAGCGTAAGGGTGTTTTTCCGTATAAATATCTAGACTGTTGGGAAAAATTACAAGATATTGAATTACCATCTCGAGAAAGTTTTTACAGTTCAATATATGATTGTAACATTTCTCAAACAGAATACGATCATGCATGTAATGTGTGGAAGACTTTTAAAATTATTAATTTGCAGGAGTATGCAGAATTATATCTAAAAACAGATGCGCTATTGCTTGCTGATATATTTGAAAATTTTAGATCAACATGCTGGACAACNTGCAAGAGTATGCAGAATTATATCTAAAAACAGATGTGCTATTGCTTGCTGATATATTTGAAAATTTTAGATCAACATGTTGGACAACATATAAATTAGATAGTTTACATTATTATACTGCACCAGGTCTTGCTTTTGATAGTATGTTAAAAATAACAGAAATTGAATTAGAACTATTAACCGATATAGATATGATAATGTTTATAGAACGAGGTATAAGAGGGGGAATATCACAATGTTGTAATCGCTACGGAAAAGCAAACAATAAATATATGGTAGATGAATTTAATCCTAACGAACCTACATCATATTTAATGTATTACGACGTAAACAATTTGTATGGTTATGCAATGAGTTTTCCACTACCTGAAGGAAAATTTGAATGGGTCCATGACATTTACTCAATTAATATTGATGACAATAATGATAATAATGAATGCGGTTACATATTTGAACACTTTTGATAAGAAGAAATATATCGTTCACTATGAAAAATTAAAACAAGCATTAAGCTTAGGTATTTAACTTGAAAAAATTCATAGAGTTCTGAAATTTAAACAATCTCCATGGTTAAAAAAATTTGTTGATTTAAATACCAATTTACGGAAAGCTAGAAAAAATGAATTCGAAAAAAACTTTTACAAACTTATGAATAACTCAGTATTTGGTAAAACAATGGAAAACGTACGAACATATAAAGACGTTAAATTAGTAACGAAATGGTCAGGAAGATATGGTGCTAATTTTTACATTTCTAAACCAAATTTCCATAGTTGTACTATATTCAATGAAAATATGATTATAATAGAGATGGAACGATTAAATATTAAATTCAATAAACCAATTTACGTAGGATTTTGTATTCTTGACATTTCGAAAACTGTACTGTATGACTTTCATTATAATTACATTCAAAATAAATTTTCTAATTCTGCTAAACTTCTCTATACTGATACAGATTCACTCATATATCAATTCTTTGTCGATGATATATACCATCACATAAAATGTGATTTACATAAATTTGATACATCAGACTTTTCACAAGATAATGAATACAATATACCTTTAACGAATAAAAAAGTAATGGGTTTAATGAAAGATGAAAACAATGGTAAAATCTTTTCTGAATTCATTGGACTCAGATCGAAAATGTATGCAATCAGACTTTTTAACAAAGAAAATAATAATACAGATATTACGAAGAAAATTAAAGGAATAACAAAGGCAACAATTAGAGGAATCACTTTTGATGATTATTATAAATGTTTATTCTATAATCAAATCATAGAGGCCAATCAAAATTTAATTATTTCTAAAAAACATAACGTCTATACAGTCAAACAAAGAAAGGTCGCACTTAGCCCATATGATGACAAGAGAATAATAAATACTTTAACAACGGATACGTATCCATGGGGATATAAATAACGTTTAAAATAGACTGTTTTAAATATTCTACGTAATTACAAACACATTAATTACTACTTTTGTTTGTAAAAGTTTATTATTTATAATTTTACTAACAATAANTTTTTAAGATATCGGAGTATATTAATTATTATTTAAGATGTTATTTACAATAATATTAAGTGGTGGAAATTTACGAGAAGCTACGGGAAAAATAAACAGAATATGTTCTGTAATGAGGCAACAACATACATATGAAGAAGGAAAGGAAAAAATGAAATTTATTATCTATGTTAGTAACGAAACTGAAGATTCAATACGTATAGTTGAAGGCTTAAATTCCATCGATTTTACAAACATGGTGGACATTATCAGATGTGGGGAAAAAACTCAATCTTGTTTGCATGGAACAATGATGATGATGAAGACAAATAAACCTGTAAATAGGACTTTAATGTAACCTGTGTATCTACTCGTACATATTACTACATATACAAATAAATGTACTTCTTCGTTTATTGTGTTTGTTATTCAAAGCAGACAATGATAAAATTTGAACTTCTCTAACCCTAACGTAATCATTCTCAGTAAATCTATGCAGGTTCAGTCCTGTTTTGTGACGTATCCCCTTATCTACACAAATATTCAAAAGACCAAAGTTCAATTACGTCACAAAGTATTGTCAACAACGTTGAGCAAACACTGCACTGACCTTCAAACGCGCGCGAAATTCAAATTCGAATAGGCTCCGCCCACAATGAAGACAATCCAGAGGCTCTTAAGAAATTCTTCAGCTGAAGAATCTTCTCCAAAGTGTCTTAGAGGTCAAACAAAACACATTTTTGGCAAGACGTTTCGGTCTTCCGCACGAAGAATGACCTCCAAGGTGCCAATAGAAGTCATGGTAAGGACTAAGGATGGACAGGCCATCGAACTGTCACAGAATCCCAATAGCTATACTACTGCTGAGCGTATAATCTATTCCCCAATCCCATTTCAGTCATAAGATCACTCTGTAATAAGGAATAGCCACGGCGGTATACATCTCAGCCGAAATTAACCTTTGTAACATCTGTACTTCTTTTTCTTAAATAAATCATCCCATAACAGCCGTTCGAAATTACCCAACACCAAAGAATGTCAAACAATTGCGAGGATTCCTACGCTTGAGTGGATACTACAGGAAATTTATCTTCAAAATTCGACAAGAACGAAAAATGCAAAGCCAGCTTCGAGGAAATAAAAACTGTGCTAACCACGGAATCGATATTACAATATTCGGACTATTCTCTGTCCTATCTCCTCACTACAGACGCGAGTAAATATACATCAAACGCTATTCTATCTTAAGGTTCCAACTTAAAGGAAAATTTCTAATTACATATTGTTTTTACGATTCGTTTAGACTAGCAAACGAAAAATTAATCATTTCATTATTACATTTTTTTGCAAAATAATATTCACTTCATTACCATCAATCCTACACAAATTACAGAAAGTTTCAAATTTTTAAAATCACAATGGTGATTGAACGGAATTTAGGCACATTTGAGCAATAGTAAACACTCGGCTGTTTCCGTTAACCTTCGAGAAACTTCGCTTGACCGGTACGAGCCGTTAGTGCCATGCCGCATGTCAAACGTTTTGACACTTGCCTGTGCCGCTAACGCTGCTCCCAGGTGACAATAAGAAGTAGGAGGAAGGCTTCTGCAGTACGGAAGGAGGACACCGATGACGTTCTGCGCTGTTTTAAGTGCCTAGGGTTCGGGCACAAAACAGCAGCCTGCAGAAGCATAGACTCCGCGCTTTGCTTCCGCTGTTGAGAAAGTGGACACCAGCGACAGGCCTGCGACAGGCCCATTAGCTGTGTGAACGGTCACCTGACCAAGGAAAGATCCTACACCACATTCAAAATGGCAGTGCAGGATAGAGCAAGTAGATACGCGTGATGGCTGACACCACCATAAAAGTTCTCCAGCTAAACTGTAGGAGATCCTATGTGGTCATGTGCGAAGTCGGTGTGCTTATGCGCGAGAACGGGATCAGCCATATGAGATGGATGAAGGCGTGGAGAAGATCCCAAAGCGGTTGTAGTGACAGACAGCTCCAAGGTCGACGTAGTCAAGTCAAGACCTGACCAAGTGTGAGGCATTTGCCTACCTGAGCAGCCCGTTCGGAGCGTTGGCGTTTCCGTTTCGACCCAGAAAACGTATTGTATGCTGCTTAAGGGAAGATTGGCCGATTGGCCACCACTATAGAGTATGTGCGCACCGTGAAATACCTCGGTGTGTGCGTAGGAGATGGGTTGGCTTTTCGGCCACATCTCGAGGCATTAAGGGGCAAGCTATTAACACTAGTAGGGCATCTGCGAAGAGTCCTGTGGGGGCTGGGCAAGCGGGCGGTCCGCTGTGTGTTTACAGGCCTCCTGACTGAGTGTGCCTTGTACGGATCAAGCGTTTGGTACCGGACGCTCCGTACGGTGGTAGGAAAGAACCTGATGAGGCAATGTGAAAGGGTAGCGCTCCTGGTGTGCTTGAAGGTGTGTCCAACCGTCTCTACCGATGCGATGCAGGTATTCATGGGAGAGATCCCGTGGGGGCTGGAGGCAGAGAGGCGGTCGCTCACTTTTAAGGCGAAGCGTGAGATACCGATGGAGCCTGGCGACGTAGTCAGCAATGATGAAATCGCCGGTTTGTCGGTTGCAGGAGTGCGCAAAGAGCTAGATAGAAAGATGCTACGAAAGTGGCAAGACGGGTGGGAGCTGTCGGTAAACGGCCGAGTCACACACCGCTTCATTCCAGACGTTCGCACTGTTAGGTTGAGCGGATGGATTGATCCGTGCATGGCTGTAGGGTACTTGATCACCGGACATGGTAGCATGAACGGGTTCTTGTACAAGAGAGGATTGGCAGAAAATGA